ACTGAAATTAGATAAGTATTTAACAAATGCCATTTTTTTAGAAATTAAGAGTAGGAAAAGTAGATCCGTAAAGAATCATGTCTCTTGTATTCCACATGGCACACTAAGAAATTAACTTGGTGGCATCCATATCTATTTCACCGCTATTTTTAGTAATATATACGTGAAGTCAAGCATTGAAACTATTTTTGAAATCAAGTATAATTTTATTTTTTATGTGTGTTATAATGATTTATATATTAATTTAATGGCTATTTTCTTTAAAATAACAGAGATACCCTAGATGCATACTCAAAAGAGCTTAAGAATGTTGGCTTAAAAACTCTATACTTCATCGCTAACGCTTTGAAAATGGAAAGTAATGACATGATAACTCTGTTCAAGGAAGGAATGCAAGCAATGAGGATGAACTACTATCCACCATGTCCACAACCCGAACAAGTCATAGGTCTCACCCCTCACTCAGATGCTGTTGGAATCACAATTCTTCTCCAACTCAATGAAGTAGAAGGCCTTCAAATTAAAAAAGACGGCATTTGGATCCCAATCAAACCACTCCCTAACGCTTTCATTGTTAATATTGGAGATATCCTAGAGGTCATTTCTTTATCTGTGATCACTTATATTTAACATCTCCATTTGTCTTTTATGATTTTGAAAATAATGAAAGATAAATTTTGTATTTCTTGTCCTGTTTATAAGGGTTTGTTTATTTTCAGATAGTGACAAATGGACAATATAAAAGCATTGAGCATAGAGCAATTGTGAACTCAGAGAAAGAGAGGTTGTCTATTGCTACATTTCTAAGCCCGAATTTGGATGGTGATTTAGGACCAGCACCAAGCCTAATTACTCCAGACACACCTCCAAAATTTAAAAGAGTATCTGTGGTGGATTTCTCTAAGGACTTATTTTCTAAGGAACTCAACAGAAAAACTTTCATTGAACGCTACTATATATAATGTCTTATGTATGTACCTAGCTAGCAAGAACGTTGCCAATTATACTCTAATTTACCCATTTGTATCTTATGAATGGGAGTTTATATTGTAAGTGACTATCATCTCTTAACAAGTATAATTAATTACATATAGATATTATAAATAAAGCCATAATAAAAGCCATTTACATGAAGGTTTCTTAGTCGTTACAGTTAGTTCTTTCTCTATGTGATTTTCTTCATCCTCATTCATGAATGGACAAGTTAATTAAACAAGAAACACACACGATATGTTTGTAGGATAGAGTTGAAGGTTTCCTTGCGTCACATATGGTATTAAATGGTTGTATATGAGTCTATTACATTGAAACATCAAATTCTTTTAATCGATAAGAGGCAATTTGTGTATCATGTTTATGTGTTTCTACACAAATTGTATTATGATTTACATCGAAGTAACATGAAAAATACCAATAAAATAAATTCATTCTGTAAAAGTCACAAGCCTTTTAAACTCCTTGAAAAGGCCGACAAATGGGTTGTAATGGTCGTGAAGCTTCAATGGAAAAGTAACGTTTATGTCACTTTTAGTGTTGTAAAATACGACGGATCCAAATTGACTTAAATAATATTAGCTCAATGCGGAATGGGATCAAAAAT